AGGCAAATAGTGTTAGCATTATGCTATGTTTGGCATATTTAATGACTATTCGTAATGAATAAAATCCAGGCTGAAGCCAACATTCACAGTGTTCATGCTGAGAATGGTGAGGGCTACCTGACATATAGTGATCTTGATAACAAAAGGACCACCACATCACAGACAAGGAGGGAAAGTTCCAAAACGAATTCAAATTATGGGACATGCATTTGATTTGCAGTGGTAACTTAGATGAATGGTTCGTATGCTATTTCCTGCCTTTGAATGGAGAGGTGGTTTTATGATGCTAAATATATAGATAAACACAAACCATGAATCACAAAGAAGAAAGCAGAGAAATATAGGTATAGGATTGCTTTTATAGCCTTTCTAAAGGAAAGTATTTCTGTGAGTTAATGCTTATTTTAACAATGGAGGGCAAGGGGAAAGCTTTTAGCAACCAAAGATGAGATAAAATTTTCAGTTAATGAAAACAGACATTCAGCGAGACAGCAGGCAGTGAGAGTAGTGACCGTATCTATCTTGTTCTCGGCTGCATCCCCAGCACCGACCATACAGTAGGCATTAAACCAGCAGATGTTGAATAAATGTGCAGGATGCTAAACACTGATGGCAGCAAAGAATAAAATAAAAACAAATGAGGAAGGGATGGGGATAAGACAACATAATGGGGATTAAGCAAGCAGGCTTGTGGAGAAAGATGTGTAGGGAGAAGAGAGAATCTTAAGCAGGTTCCATGCCCAGTATGGGGCCCCACAACGTGTGAGATTATTACCTGAGCCAAAATCAAAAGTTGGACCTTAACTGACTGTGCCACCCAGGTGGCTCTAGTGGGGATTTTTCTGATCCCCCACATAGAGGGTTTGGAAGCAATAAACATAAGTGAAAGTAAAACACATATCCCATGAAATAGTCACAATATGTATGTAGGAAGGTGTTTCACAGAGTAGCAGGACTAGAAACTACATTTACGTGTTGAATTGAGTAGGAAAAATGCAATTTGTATGCTTCTACATTTCCGAAAACAATGTTCTAAAATGTCCATATTTTCTAAGCAATTTTTCAAGTGGAAATTTAATGTTTAGGTTTTTGCCATAGAATCATGTTGAGTGATGCTTTTAAAAATGTTAAACTGAGAAAGCATATTCGTGGCGGGGTGGGGGGGGGTAATAATACATGTACCATTTGACCCTTGAACAACGTGGGGGTTATGGGCATCAACTACCGGGCAGTGAAAAATCTGCCTACAAGTTTTGACTCCTTTGAATGGAAACCTCACTAGTACCAGCCGATTAACATGTATTTTGTATGTTACATGTATTATGTACAGTGCTCTTACAATAAAGTGAACTAGGGAAAAGAAAATGCTACTGAGAAAATCTTAAGGAAGAGAAAATACATATAGAGGACTGTATTGAATTTATTGAAAAAAAAAACTGGCATGTAAGTGGACCCAGGCAGTTGAAACCCTTATTGTTCAGGGATCAACTATACTTCATTTGTAAAGTCAAATAAAAGTACATTTTATAACAAAGGAAAGCAACAGGCTTTCTTGTTTTGTCCCTGGTCCCCTTCTCCTCTGTATCCTCTTGAAGGCACCACTTTAAACCCTCTACTTTCCAGGGCACATGGGTGGCTCAGTCGGTTGAGTGTCTGACTTCGGTTCAGGTCATGATCTCAGGGTTTGTGAGTTTGAGACCCGTATCGGGCTCTGTGCTGACATCTCAGAGCCTGGAGCCCTCTTCACATTCTGTGTCTCCTCCCCTCTCTGCCCCTCCCATGCTCATGCTCAGTTTCTGCCTCTTTTTTTTTTTGAATGTTTATTTATTTTTGAGAGACACAGAGACAGAACGCGAGTGGGTTAGGGGCAGAGAGAGAGGGAGACACAGAATCCGAAGCAGGCTCCAGGCTCCAAGCTGTCAGCACAGAGCCCAACGAGGGGCTCGAACTCACGAGCTGTGAGATCATGACCTAAGCCGAAGTCGGATGCTCACCAACTGAGCCACCAGGCGTCCCTCTCTGTCTCTTAATAATAAATAAATGTTAAAAAAAAAAAAAAAAATCAAACCCTTTACTTTCCTAGATGACAGGTGAGGATTTTCTTTCTCTTCCACTTCCTTTTCTCCTTCCTCCACCTCCCTGAGAGAGCAAAATCACAGTTGTTCAATCTACAGTCTGTGTTCTCATGATTCTGATATAAATGCTGCTTGCTGCTGGGCCTAGTCATGCTCCATTATTACACTTCCTTTCTTATATAACTTTTGTTATTTTCCAGAGTCAACAATTATCCCGTTTTTAAAATACTCCTTTGATTAGTCATGCTATGCCTCCCTCTTCACATTGCCTCCAGTATATTTTTCGTGGTGTTCAGTGTCTTCTGACTGGCTGTAGCATGTGCTGACTAATTTAAGTATCATCCCTGCATAGGGTTAAACCTATTAGATACTCTCATCCTCATACATTCCCCTGAGATACCTCTCCTGGCACCCTGCATCCATCACATCCAATTTTGGCCAATTGCACTTGACTTGCTATGTAGATGTACATTCTAGGAAGTACTGTCCCCTCCCTTCAGTGCTAGATACCCTATCTCCTGATACCATGGGTTTCCTTCTTCATGGATTATTCCCTAATTGTGGCAGAGCATATCTACCCTGACAAAGAATGAATAGGAGGTAAATTTTGTGACTTTGCATGCTTTAAAAAAAAATTAGATTGATTCTAAGCTCACACATGACTGAGAGCTTGACTGTTTCAGAATGTGAGGGTGAAAATTATGGTATCACGGATGGTATTATTCTTTGGTCTTCAAGCTTCCATTGTCACTATTCAGAAATTTAATGCCTTTCCGATTTTTGGTCATTTGGATGTGACATACTTTTTATCTTTGGAATCTTTAAACACTTTTTCCTTGTCTCTAGTGTCTCTGGACTATTCCAATGACCTTGCTTACAGTCAGTCTTTTTTTCATTCATTGTGCTGGGTACTTTGTGGGCTCTTTCTATTTTTTTTTTTTAAGTAAGGTTCATACCCAGTGCAGAGTCCAGGGCATAGCTTGAACTCCCAAGGTGAGATCAAGACCAGAGATGAGATCAAGAGTCAGATGCTTAACTGTCTGAGCCACCCAGAGGCCCCGTGGGTTCTTTCAATCTAGAAATCATGTCCTTCAGTTCTGGGAAATATTATTGTATTATTTCTTCAATAATTGCATCTGTGGTCTTATGGTAGAATTTCTAGTTGTTGAATATTATGTCTCTTGGATGCTCTTTTTTAGGACACATGGAAATCAGGGATGTATTCTCATTAAGCAAGAAAAAAAAGCAAATGAACTTCTTTTACAATGGATAACAGTCCACTAAGATTAAAATTTTTAGTATATCTATACTAATAAAAGAAAAAGCCTTTAAAAGCCAGGTAACAGGTAAACTATTCTTCACTAAAGTGCTGATAGTTAATAATCATTAATGATACAGTTGTCTTACATGTCTAGGGCTGCATAGTTAATAAGTTTACACTTAATTCTGAATGTAACACTTCTGGGGATATAATCTGAATATAATTTAGATTTTTAATGTTTATTTTTGAGAGAGACAGAGAGAGAGGGAGAGGGAGGGGGGAGAGAGGGGAAGAGAGAGAGAGAGAGACAGAGAGAGAGAGAGAGAGAGAGAGAACAAGTGGGGAGGGGCAGAGAGAGAGGGAGACACAGAATCTGAAGCAGGCTCCAGGTTCTGAGCTGTCAGCACAGAGCCTGACGTGGGGCTCAAACTCACAAACTGTGAGATCATGACCTGAGCCGAAGTCGGATGCTCAACCGACTGAGCCACCCAGGTGCCCCGAATATAATTTTGGTTTTTAATTTTGTTGATCATATTAATTGTACTTGAGCCAAAGTTCACTTTGAAAAATTAAGGATCATTCTGGAAACCCCACCGACATTTTATATCCCATCACCATTGCTATTATGCAGAATCACCACTTAGAATATTTATTTCCATAGCATTGTTATTTTAGTTCAAGATAACCAAGTTGAAAAAGTCTAACTCAGAAGCTGGAATACTATTTAATTTCAATTTAACTTCATAGCAACAAACTCAAATTTTCACTTGAAAGAGAGACACACACACATGATATTCCTACTATGTTTTGGCAAGCACTGTGCTTTTTCATATGCTCTGGCAGACAGGTATATTACCCCTCTTTTATACATGAAGCAACCAGTGAACACAGAGGTTAAGTAAATCACCAATAGTTATTTAAAAAGTCACACTCAGCATTTTCGGGATCTGAAGCCTGTTTTCTTTCCATATACTACACACCAAAATCAATTACGCTATGGTATTCAAAATAAACCACACTAATTACTACATGCAAAGAAATCCAAAAGCCATAACGCAAGTTTTCACAGAAGGCATACATTTGATAACTTCACTTGCAAAAAAACACAACACATGACATTAGTAACTGGCTAAGTAAAATCTCAAGTTTTAAGAACAGAATTTTTTCATGCCTTATTTTGAATAATCAGTTACCTCAAATTGGTTGAAGTAGGGGTGCAGGAGTAAGCCAGAAATCCTACCAAGATATTGCCATCGGGAGAGAGAGAGAGAGAGAGAGAGAGAGAGAAAGAGAGAGAGAGAGAGAAAGAGAGAGAGAGAGACCAGAGACAGGGAAAGAAAGAATGGTCATCTTTACTATAGGTGATTTACTCAACCTTATTTTAAGGCTATAAAGTAGGAAAATTATGACAAAATGACATCTTCAGGTATGGTTTTATATATTAACTAGCTCTCATTTTGTGATCAGTTAAGACTTTCAGAATATTGAGCAGTTATAAAACACATGCATTAAAATGTTTTTTAAATTATCATTTACATTTACATTACAAAAATAAGCAAAGCAAAATTCTGCCAAAAGTTTATAATGATCTAGAATAAAAAGCCACCCTACTTTGTCCACTGACTTAATGTGACATTGAATAAAAAGCATAAATAAACAATTACCTTCACCGCTGCAGTGACAGCAGCAGTGGCTGCGAAAGCTAAACCTTGTCGCCCAAAGTTTACCACGGTCTCATAGCCCCGCTCCTTTGCTTGTACAATATAGTCATCAATCTCCTGGGGGAAAAACAAACAAACTCATGGGTATAAATTTTATTTAACAATAGTGTCAACAAGCCAAAAACAAGGACTTTTCCCCGAAGATATAATAGTTTTACTTGTTTAATAGCACAAAACATGTGATGATGTCCATTTCTAACAAATGATTTATGGATTTATAGATCTTACCCTTTCCTTTGAAGAAAGAAGTGGATGAAGGAATTTTCTATATATTAAACTTGCTCCTTTGGTATAGGGAGAGAGCAGCCATATGACAAAAGCAATCTTAAGCTCATAGTACAGGGGGAACCTAACAAGAAAAAATTCGAAAAAAACCACTGGTGAAAATAAACTACAATGAGGAAATCAATCTCTCTCTCTCTCTCTCTCTCTCTCTCTCTCTCTCTCTCTCTCTCTCACACACACACACACACACACACGCACATACACACACACACACACACACACCCACACCCTTTCTTTTAAGAAAGTTCAGTCATTGTATTAAGTTTTCACATGTAAAAGTGAGTGATTAAGGAAATAACTATGTTTGAATTGACAAATTAATTTCATTAACTATAAATCAGTTAACCAAAGAGTGACCTGATCCCTGCTGAGATTCCGAAACTTCTACTACAACTGTATAAGCAACCATAGGCAAGCTGACCGCTGACTGTAGCAGTCCAGAGAGAACATTAACAGCATTTGACCACGGCAGTAAGGTATACCAGCCACCATTCTGCAGAGCCCAACGGGGGCGTCAGTACTGGACATCTCTCCAAGTGCCAGGAGGAAGCTTTGTAATACTCCAAGGGCACAAAGTTACCCCATGAACACATGTCCTTCTCTTTCTCAACACTCCCCCCAAAACTCCCCTTCCGGTCTCATTTGGCCGGAAAACGGCACTTGGCAGACAATCATTCACTTGTAAGGGGAATGGAATTACCATTGTGGTAGACTGGGAATTAGTGTCAGCTACCCATGCCCCTTTCCATGTGACTTTGCAGTGTTTTCCCTACGGGCTGAGTGCACTTCCTCGAGGAATGACTACGGGGTTAGCCATGTGACTTACTCTGGCCAACATAATGTGAGTGTGACATATCACATGCACGCAAAGGGCTTTAAATGCCCTTTGACTTCCTCACCCCAACACCCCCAACCTCTTGCTTTAAATTTTTGCTTTCTGCCATGAAACAGCTGCTCCTTCAGCCTTGGGCCTGAAACGAGAAGACACTTAAAACTGAACTGAGCCCCGCAAAGCTGCAGCCAACCTTTTGCCCTTACATAAGTTGAGCAAGAAATAAGTGTTTGTTTTTCTAACCCATCATGACTTTAGGGTTGTTTGCTGCCACAGCAAAAGTGAACAATATACCACAGGGGCTAGCATCCCATGGGACACAGATTATTAAGATACATGGTTTAACTGAACAAATCTGGGCTCTTCTGATGAGGCAGACGGGTCCAGGGCAGTAAGGAAAAGCTGTTGTGTAGTCAACAAAGGGTCTTTACCATGGCGCAGTTACAGAGGAGTTTCTGGGCTTTTGCTATTCACAGTAAACTTTTTGTACACCACTCGCTTCTTAATAATATATATAGGTGACATTTGCAATCAGGAAAATATGAGAAGTCTTGAAAAAGAGAACTTGGAAACTTAAGAGACCTAGCATGGTTTGAAATCTGTGTTCTGCCATTTAAAACCACACAAAAAACCCTCCCCCGGGGCGCCTGGGTGGCGCAGTCGGTTAAGCATCCGACTTCAGCCAGGTCACGATCTCGCGGTCCGTGAGTTCGAGCCCCGCGTCAGGCTCTGGGCTGATGGCTCGGAGCCTGGAGCCTGGTTCCGATTCTGTGTCTCCCTCTCTCTCTGCCCCTCCCTCGTTCATGCTCTGTCTCTCTCTGTCCCAAAAATAAATAAAAACGTTAAAAAAAACAAAAAACAAAACACAAAACAAAACCCTCCCCCAAAACTCTCCACAAACACTTAACAGGTAAATGAATGAGCTATGGGACAGACGAAGAATAACTCACATTTCAAGTCAGAAGAGAAAGATGGCTGCAGACACAGAGAGGTTCATAAATAAGGGCAAGTTGTTAAGAACGGTAAAGTCTGGTGACTTCTTTATTTTTTTCCTAGCAATCCAATATGACCTAATGTGCTGTGAGAATACGATGCGAATAGCAAAGCCAGAAAGACAGTTTAAAGGAGAGAATAGCAAGTGTCTGAAACAGATACAGGAGGGCAGGGAAGCAGCAAGTAAAGGGAATGGGGAGGGTCAAACTGGTCCCTACATGAGAGCAGCTGAATGATGTTCTGGGGGTGCTGCATTTGTAGCCCAGGAAAGGAAACAAAGAAAGGCTAATTTAGGCTGAAGGTTTATGCAGCGAGGGCAGTTTAGGATACTGGCAAGGTATGAAGTTTAAAGATTTTGCAAGGAGGACTTCTCCAGTGATGGTAAGGTTTAGATGGAAACGCACCAGTGAAATATGGCACAGGAGATTCAAATTGTTCCCTTTGGTATCACTTCTTGGTAAAATGTTAAATCCTTGAGGGTACAAACATGCTTTAATTTTGTCTCAGCTATTTGGAACAGAGCAGCCAAGGAGCTGGTGGTGAGTGGGCGTCCACGTGGATGCTGACGTCATCCAGTTTGAATGTTTGTAGTTGAGAGTTTTAAGGATGGGGAGGGAGTTTAGAATCAGATGCTGTGGGCTTCAAAGAGGGAGTCATTTAGGAAGTGATAAAAATAGCCTCAAGTCATCCTGTGGAAAAAGGGTGATGACAACTAAGTTTTTGTATTCCAAGATATTGGGACCTGTGTGGGAGGAGGGCAGGGAGCAACCCAAGGGGAGACATGAGCTGCTCTAATTGGAGGGGGTACTGTAAGGAAAGTAATGTTCTTATGGGGAAACAAGATAAAGAAAGTGAAACACTGGATAAGTAAGTAACTTGATCAAATTCACCGGGTTACCAGCCAAGGGCAGGATAAGAACTCAGGACACCTGATGAGGTGTCTATAGTTTGGCCCTTTCTCAGTGTTAGAACTTACCAAGCAACTGTTTGATCTGTTATTGTTTCAATCACAGTATAGAGAGCAAAAACAATCCAGTACATCATCCATCGGACCTGGAAATAATAAAAATACTTATGAAATAACAGATGAAAATTATTTGCAACTCTGAATAATTACATATATGTTTCCACATCTATAGTTGGACCAAGCACGGAAGTTGATGGTTTAATTCTCGATAGGTTTATGTCTGAATTCCTCGTATCACAACATCAACAATCTTGGGATACAAGACAAGAATCAAAGAATAACAAATTGCCAGTCCTGACACAATATAATGTAGGAATCTGAATGAAAGAATCAGCACAATAGGATAGATTTTTCTTAACTGGAGGAAAGTTCTTTGAAAGATCTTACTCTTATCAACGTGCTTCTTTATGGATGACGATTAGCCATTTACTTGTTATATAAATAACAGCATAATAAGATATGACCACATTTAATCTTGACTTGTCTTTTAAATTTTACATTCCTTAATTCTCAATATATAGAAACTGTTCAGAAACCAAAGAACGATCCTGGATTCATTATATCCATAATGTTAGTCACCCAATATGAAAATCAGGTACTGTATTCTCTCTCTCTTTTTTAATGCTTAACCATTTATTTTTTAAAGGTTTATTTATTTATTTTAAGAGAGTGAGAAACAGACTGTGAGCAGGGGAAGGGCAGAGAGAGAGAGGGAGTGCAGAGCCCGACGCGGGGCTCAAACCCACGAACCATGAGATTTTGACCTGAGCCAAAATCAAGAGTTGGATGCTTAATCAACTGAGCCACGCAGGCACCCCAAGTTAGTGTGTTCTTTTCCCCCATATGTAAGCCTGTAACTTCTCACATATCATTTTCCATCTTCTACCAACACCACAATGGCAGCTGCAATAGGCTGAACGTTTGTGTCCTCCTCCCCCTCAAATCCATATGTTGAAATCCTAACCCCAAATGTGTGTTAGGAGGTGGCGCCTTCAGGAGCTGATGAGGTCGTGTTGGTGGAGCTCTCATAAATGGAGTTACTGTTCTTCTAATAGGGCCTCCAAAGAGATCTCTCATGCCTTCCACCATGTGGGAACACAGTGAGAAAATGGCCACCTAGGAACCAAGAAGTGGGTCTCACCAGAAATCAGACCTGCCTTGATCGTGGACTTCCTAACCTCCAGAACAGTGAGAAATATATTTCTGTTGTTTATAAACCACCTAGTCTATGGTATTTTTGTTCCAGAAATCTGGATGGACTGAGATAGTAGTTCAAGACGTTTTTACCTCTTTCCTGGAATAGAGCATCCTAACTGGTCCCTGAGACTCCAGTGTCTCTTTATACCAATCCTTTTCATTGAATGCTACCAGATTAATTTTCTTGAATTCATTTCCCCGACTATACTTTTCCACCTACTTGAGTACACAAACTCTCTTATCGCTCAAGTAGGTTGGATTTTCATTAAGGATTAAAATCTCTGCTCTCCTGCTCAATATTATAATAATAGCTAATATGTAAAACCATGCCAACTATGGCCTTGGGACTACACTAACGATATCACATATATTAAGTAATTTACTCTCCACAGCAATATTACAAGGTAGGAAACATAATTATTTCCACTATAGATAAGGAAACAGTGACAGAGAGAGGTGAAATGACTTGCTCAAGGTCATTTAGCCGGAATATGAATCCAGGCTCTCTGACCCTGGATTTGGTGCTATTAATCAATTATACTATGTAGAGAAAGAATTTGTGAGGATTGGCTAAATGTGAAATCCAAGAATAACCACTGCTTCCCTTGTTCTCTTCTAAATGAGAGGACAAAAAAATTTAGGTCTCTATAAATAGCTAGAAAATTGACCTACTATTTAGTTTTAATATAGAAGCTTGTTTGGGTATTCCATAGACAATAGAAATGAATTACAATTCAAGTGGCTTTTATGGTTTTCTATTTACATGGACAAATAAATTAAAAATAGCCACGAATAACTTTTGAAGCAATGTATTATGAAATAGAAATCATACCAATTTACTCTAACGTATAGACTCCTGAAAGCTTAAAAAAATTGCCCAAAGCAAATAGGGCATCTTATCTATATCTGAAAAACAAAGCAATGGATTTACAATTATCATCTCAAATTAAAAAACAAAACAAAACAGCCCAAATGTACTCTTTAGTTGTTCACTTTTCATGGGTTCTCTAAAATCTCTCACTGCCACCAATTCCAAGCTTTTGTCCAAATATGGGGATTTTCATCCTATGTATACTTTCTCCTGCCCCTCCCTTTTTTAAGTTAAGTGATGCTCTGACAAGCTCTGATTCACCTGCCCCTCCAGAGCCAAACACTAACTTAGCACTTTGACCTCTCAACTGTATTCAGAGGGTTAGCTTGTACCCTGATTGACTATATGCCTCTCCCCAAAAAGAAAAGAAAGAAAAGGCTGCAAACAGAAGAATGAGGTTTTATACAGCTAGAAAGAATCTAAGGAGTTTTAATTTTTTAAAACTATACAACTCTTTACTGAAAAAAACCGAGCCAATTACAAAAGAAATGGCTCACGAGGGGCCCCACCGGTCCACCCACGGTGCGACTCTGGAGGAGACCCGAGCGCTGCATGGGCCAGAGTTTGAGACAAGATGGTAAACTCCTCTTACTTTCCTGAGGGGCCTAAATAATCAAGCCGCATCTGGCCGGTGAGCTAAGAAATGGCAGGAGTAGGAACAAGTCTATCAAGGGGGCGGCTTCTCAGTGCGCAGCGGCCTTCGGACCAGATCTTTTCGGTTCCCCGCCCCCCTCCTTGTACTCAACACGGGGATTTCAGGGTAAACTGTTCCCTTCTTGCCCAGGAAAGAGGAGGCTTAAATTGACTCTCTTCTAGAAGAAAGCTTAGGAAACTTTCAGCAAGGTAAAATTATTTAAGTCGGTGCTTGTTACTTTTCGTTATTTCACTATTTCCCGCCGCTGTTACCGTTGTGAGTTTCCAAATGGATAACAACTCCCCAAGTAGTCATAATTTACTGGTTAATAGAGGAGAAGAGAGAGGAAAAGGGGACTGCACGGAGAGTGACTGGTGATACCTCCAAATGACTAGTTCTCTAATGAATGAGAACCGCTAAACGTCCCAGATTTCAAGCGCACACTCGCTTCAATCAAGTGCTTACTCAGTTTCCAAATGAAGTTATTAAATTAATTTTAAATCCACAAAATAAAAGTGCTTTAAAGAATGTAATGTTTATCTCTTTAAAAACCCCACTTTATATTTAGTAATGTCAAAAATAAAAAAAGGAGAAAAAGAAGGTCATGCCTTTTAAAAATAGATTTTTTTTTTCTTTTAGAGAGAGTGTGAGCAGGGGAAAGGGGCAGAGGGAGAGAGAGAGAATCTTAAACAGGCTTCATGCTCAGCACAGAGCCTGATAGGGGGCTTGATTTCACGACTCTGGAATCATGACCTGAGCTGAATCAGGAGTTGGAGGCTCAACTGACTGAGCCACCCAGGAGTCCCTAGCCATGTCTTTTTAGTTAAAACACAACAAAGTATCCAGTCAAGAGGGTATTCCTGGACATTTTCCTGGATTAACAACAATTTTATATAAGCAAAACCCCATGGTATATTAATTTGTCCTTAATGAACAAATTCTTTGATAATTTGCTCTTAAACCTAAGGTTATTTTTTGGTTGTCCTTACCAGAAATATGGATCTTAAATTATAATAGCAGGCAATAATTAAATGAATGTAATAAGTGTGTATTATTCGTGTGAGCAACCAGATAGAAAGTTAACCTTGAAAAGACATTGCTTATTTTTCTATTAATGGATTTGGTTGGGACTTTATACCAAATGATTACTCAGCACAGCTTTTATTAAAATTACACCTCAAGGCCATGAAGCTTACTGTTTAAGGTTTTGCTCCAAGGAAATAGCAAGGAAGAAGTCAAGGTCAAAAAAAAAAAAAAAAAAACAAGTCACAAAACTATAAAAGTATAATTAAGCATGTGAAGAATAAAGATAAAATATTCTTTAGATCAACAGAAAACATCAATAACAAAATGCAAAACTAAAACCAAAAATTGGCAGGAAAACGATCACACTGATAATCTTTTTTTTTTTAAGTTTATTTATTTTGTGTGTGTGTGAGAGAGAGAGAGAGAGAGAGAACACAGGGGTGGGGCAGGAAGAGAAGGCGAGAGAGAGAATGCCAAGCAGGCTCTGCACTGCCAGCGCAGAGCCTGACACGGGGCTCGAACGCATGAACCATGAGATCATGACCTGAGCCAAAATCAAGAGTCAGATGTTTAACTGACTGAGCCCCGGAGAAGCCCCTCACACTGGTAATCTTATGAATGTATATAACCAAATATAGTCAATATTAAAATGTTATGCAAATGTAAATTAGTAACTTAACTGTTAAGTTAATAAGTCACACACCTTTTAAGTTCCTGGGGAAAAAAAGTTATTGGCATCATCTTTATTTGGTAAAAATTTATGTTCTTGGGAAAAGTGGGAACAAATAGTACAGTATCTTTCTAGTTCAGAAACAATTGGTAAAACCAGCAAACCATTGTCTAAATATCTCCATGAGGATGAGTAATAAGAAAGCTGTATACCCAACTTTTTCTTAAAAGTCTCTTTGGTCCCAGAGAACTGAATTATCCAACAAGGTGAAGATTATACCTATAAGCACTGAGATGGATATACACACACCATACTTTTGATAAATCTTTCATATCAAACATAGTTTAGACAATTCTTAAGGACTCAGGTGGCATCATTACCTATGACACTGATACAACTGTAGTAAACCCTACTTTATGTTATGAGAATAGAAACATGAGTATGATAGTTCCTGTCCTCACGGATTTAGCATTTTACTAGGGAAAAGAAAAACAAACAAGTAAAAAACTGTGATTAAAAACAATGTTCTGGGGTGCCTGGGTGGCTCAGTTGGTTAAGTCAGTTAAGCTCTGCCTCGCTTTGGCTCAGGTCATGATGTCACGGATCGTGAGATTGAGCCCTGAGTTGGTCTCTGTGCTGATGGCTTGGAGCCTGCTTGGGATTTGCTCTCTCCCTCTCTCTCTGCCCC